GCCCTGAGGAATCTCTCATCCCCCAATCCAACCTGCTAGATTTGTGGGTCCTACAGGGGAAAAAAATACAGCATGCGAGAGGATGATGCATCTAGTGTAAGAACCCAGGAATCTGAAGTTTTGATGACATGATCTCTGCATAAAATATGGGAAATAAAAGGTCAGTGGTAGCTGCTGACAGTATTACAGCATGCTGGGAATAAAGCATCGCTACTATCAATAGCTACGCTTAGCTCACTAGAGGTAGTCGACAGTCTGATCTCACCCAGACTGCACGACTTGGACATTCAAGCTGCAAACTGCACATATTTTCAGCCTTTAATTTATTTATTTTTTTAAAGCAGAGAAACAGTACTGCTCGAAAATATATGGGGTTGAGGGCGTCAGTGCTATTGCTGAAGCAGAACAATAACAACTTCAGTCATGATTTATATAGCTAATTTCAGGATAAAACCCTATCTATTTTTAAAAAAGAGGAAAAGACCACAAAATTACCTGATTTTGTATTCGGCAGTGATTACAGTTTATACTGGCCAATGTTTCAATTCAGTAAGCATGCAAATAGAATATTTTATTAAAGTAACAGACAAAAAGGGTTCTTTTCTTCTTTATGTGCCCTCTCCACTGCAACAGATTTTATCAGGCTGCAGCCAGACACACTAGCTTCCCTCTCACCTGAAGTGCCTGTCTGGTTTTAAGAGAATTATTTCCAAAACCAAACACCCATTCCTCTCTTGTATAGGCTCTATTTCCAGTTTATTGCTCGTTTGTTCTGTTTTAAGCTACCAAAATGATCTTTTGGTCATCTAAAAGCTTTCAGAGTGAAAAGCTCAGAAAAGAAATGTGCATATCATCCATATTAGACTGTAATCCTGGGATTTGCTTCTACAGCGGCAACTAACGCCTGGTTTTCTATGGCATCTGAAGCCAACCCAGTACTCTCTACTAAAGGAAAGTGCTCCATATGGAGATGCACAATCTAACAACACTTTTGACCATGGCGACATCTAAATCAAAGCGTCAGAGCAACTCCTTCCATGATCACTGCTTGTGTTTACCAACAGGCATACTGAAGCACAGAGAGTTTGACCAAGAAATCCACATAAATCCCAATTCCAACCCACATCATGTCCTTTACAGGACTCATCATTCAAGGCACTCACTTCATGTTCTCCTTCTGTTGCCAAAGACGGGAAGGGATCTGCAGAGGAACTCAGCACAAGGGGTAGAGGGATGTTCTCCACGAAGGAGGATCAGTAGGACAGGAACAGCAGCGACTAGTCCAGCAGAGTCAACACAGCCTCGTCACGGAGAAAAAAAATCACAGCCAAAGCAATAACTCTCACTTCACTGACTGTGCCACAGGGTTTGCAGCCGGGCCTCGCTTCAAAATCAGCACCACAGCCCTCTGGCTTGATGCTTTCATGTGACAATACAGCACACAAACTGGGTGCAGGTGGCAATGCTTTTTTAAAACCAAGATCTCTGGTTCAAGATTCCTTACAGAGCCCTAAAGCTGTGGGTGTATGACTGTGGCTACCTACACTGCAGTATGGCTGATAGATCTATCCCAGCGTCAAGCTGCCATCACCCTCAGCACTGGACATGCAGAAGTGACCCCAGCAGAGATCCTCAGCAGACAGGCACACAGGGAACAAAAGAGCGATGAGAACACCAACAGGCTGCTGCATCAGCTCACACAATTCACAGAATCATTGAAAGGTTTGGGTGGGAAGGGACCTTCAAGATCATCTAGTTCCAACCCCCCTGCCATGGGCAGAGACACCTTCCACTACACCAGGTTGCTCAAAGCCTCATCCAACCTGGCCTTGAACACTGCCAGGGATGGGGCAGCCACAACTTCTCCGGGCAACCTGTGCCAGTGCCTCACCACCCTCAGAGGGAAGAATTTCTTCAGATCTCATTGAAATCTCTCCTCTTTCAGTTTAAAGCCATATGGTGGTAGACCTCTATGGGAGTTTTAAGTATCTTCCTATTTTTCTGTAAAAGGAGAACTTCCAAAATTGGAGAAAGTGAAAGAAAGCACAAAGGTACCTCTCTGAATATTTTACCCATGCACAATACAGCATCACTGGCAGACGTGAGCCAACAGTCAAGACTTAATTAATTGGTGAGAAAGGATACGTAAACTGGAGATGGGAAGAAAGGACCTTAAGATAGCCATCCTATTTCTGTGGAGAATGCAAAGGGGGAACCAGCACAGAGATGCTGTTCTAGTTGAAGCACCTGATTAGGAAAATCCACTTCAAAGAGGCATTTCTAATACGTGGAGGCAAGTGGGCAAGATACATTTGTCAAAGGCAGAGGAAAATGTTTCATTAAGCAAGATGTGAAAGAACAAGACGTTATGAAAAGGGGCTTCAGCTGTACGGATGGTTAAGAAATCTCAAGACAAAATAAAAGAAGTGAAAATTGAAAAAAACTCATAATTTCAAAATATTAACAATGAAAAAATTTAGACTTGCAGTCCCAATTACACTGCTAAAGCAAGGTGTAGTAGCTTGCAAACTCTTCTGCATACAGAGAAAGGGGGGGGGAACTGAAACATGTATGTTTAGTAATTTAATCATGGTATATGAAATCAATTTACTTCCTCCTTTTATATCTCAGATGTTAAGTACCAATACTTCCCTCTCCACCAACTGATTCTCTCATCAAGTCTTAAGCTAAAATATATACGAGCACATATATAGCATTAAGTTCCACCAAATCAACAAATAAAACAAGAGAGTATATATAGGAGCAGCACTTCTGCCTAAATACTGCACAAAACTGTGCCGGGCACACCATGCTAGGTGGTCTTGGCTCTCTTACCATTGACTAAGTCACTGGATAAGTCATTGAAACAATTTTCAAAACTAGAAATCCTCTGAGCATGTGAAGCAGCCAAGGCAGAGGTAGGACAGCTTCCTAAAATTGCCCACTACACTGGTCACCAAATTAGTGTTTAGTGTTTTGCATTGCTTATCTTTATCCCTACCGGAGGCCAAACAGGAATGGCCAAGTCAGAGTGCCTAATCCACCTGGTTTTTTTTGCTACTACAAGGAAACAAGCTTTGACTCATCCTTTATTAATTTTATAGCCCATGTGACAAATCACACTATTTACAAGTTAGATTACTTTTTCCACAGACTAAATGAAGTTAGGAAGCAAGAACAGCTGAAACTGATGGAGGAGAAAAGCCTTTGCCTCCATCATAACACATAAATCGGGACTGTTTGACTATATGGGGCACGAAAGTAGACACTAACTCAGTTCTTTGCTCTGATTTTTTTTTTTTTAGGAGTTCAGGAACAACATCTTTCAAGATCCTAGTATTTCTTTTAATTTCAGATGCCCTTTTTTTCACATGTATTTATGGCTGAAAGATCAATTAGAATTCCTTTGTGCAAAGTCATTCCCATCAGTTCAATTACTCCATGTAATTGTTTCAGCAATCATAGTTAAACATCCATTTTAATTTTTATTTAGAGACTCAATTACCAAGCATTAAGCAGATGTAAACACTTTTAAAATTTCAGCTTGTCTCCCTCCTACGCCTCCTTCCCTAGCACAAATACCATTTTACCCCCCAGCATTCTCTAAATCACAAAAAAAGCACGTGTAGTCATTTAAAAACTCCACAGAACTCCTCGCTAATGTGCTTGCTAATGCTTCTTTCCCAAACACGCTTGTCCAAGACAAGCCCATCATGGTGTCAGCACAAAGACATTCCTTTCTGCTTCCATCCCACGTGCCCTACCTACAGCACCAAAAGCCTTCAGAGATTCACCTGTGCCTTATACCACCTCCTTCTGGTGGAAAGGAATCCCAGTTACTGATTTATCAGGAAGAATTCTGTTTTCAAGGTGCTTTTACATATCTATTTTAATCAGTAGCTGATCCATTTG